GCTATTTTGTATTGGATGATGAAATTCGATTTTTTATCAGAACATTAAAAAAAAAAATTAAGTTGTGGAAAAAAAAATACACAAACAAATGAGTGTGGACCAAAACAAAAACCCCGTATTCAGTGAATACGTTTGACCAATTTTTTAATTGTAAAACGTATTCACTGAATAAGTTTTTTTTTGTAAAAAAATATGAAAGAACGTATTTAAGGAATACGTTTTCTATATAAATTGTATAGAAAACGTATTTCTTAAAAATGTGCTTTTTAGTGTTGTCCACTCCCTTTTTTTTTGTTTCTTTTGTCCACATGTTTTTTTTTTATTTTTTTAATATATAAATTACTCGATGAAATTTCGGGGAGCATCTAACTTACTCTAATTGAGAAAAAAAATGTAATTTCGTGGAATGTTATCTATTTATATATACACATAAGTGGGTTTAGCCGTGAATTGTGATAATGGTATGACCTATTTCTCTTGATTATTTCTCATGCAAGTATTAATTAACGTCCCGTTATTTTTATGACAAACTACCAAGTATTATTCAAAACTCATAGTTAAATTTTCACAATTATTTTCAAAATTTATATAACGAGCATTACTCAACTTATCTCAAATAATCAGCTTATGTCCCAACACAGGCAACAGAAATAAACCATCTCAGATTTAATCTTTCACGCCAAACAAATAAAACATGCTTCAATAAAAATTACCAACAAATATTACCAATATCAATAATCCAAATACATACTAGTATAATATCCGTGTATTACACGGGTGCTAGTTAAAAAATTATTTTGAAATTTTAAAACTAATGAGAAAACTATATTAAATATACTTTACTTTTTAATAAAAAAAATATATTACTATAATTTTAGAATGATATGTGTTACTTATGACTTACATGTGTTATATTATATTAGTTTTTATTACTTATATCATATAACTACTTGAAATATAAATATATTAGTTGATATATAATTTTATTTTTCTAATTAATATTAAAAAAAATATTATTGTTATAAAGATAAATATAAATTATTTTTTATACATACTATATGGACGAATCTCATCAAAAGAAGATTAATTTGATATATTTCATATGTAAAACTGATAAAAAATACAATAGTTATTAACTTTTAAAATACATATATAATTCAATAGTTATAATAAGGAATGATATTAAAATGCAATTAATGCATGTAACATGACCATAAATATTCAACATATTTATGGTAATCCGAACCTAATTATTTTTGGTTTGGAATTAAATTAAAATTTACCCAAGCCTAATAACGAAGCATGTAATTTTGTCACATAGGATTCCGAAGCACCAGGAATAGCCACGTAGGCTCAGCGCGTTCTGAATTAATCCCCATAAATCTGGCATCAACATGATAATAATAAAGCAGAAGCAAAATATACAGTTCATATTCAAAAGCAAGTATGACACCGCTCGCTCGTCTTTCGGCCCAGCTACCAACTCAACCTGAGATGAGTGAAATAGTAGTGGTGAGCAAATCAACTAGCTCAATATGGGAATACCATGCAGTTTATTAAATACAATGACTTAAAATCATAATCGCAACATGAACACAAATCGTCTAGTCCAATTCCTAAACAACCCTACGCTTATGTGATCACATCTAAACCATCGGCACAACATCAACGGGAGTTAAACTGTCGTCTCAACATAAACGGGAGAACCTCTATATAGGTTAAAGTAGGAGAATGTCGGCACAACATCAACATGAAATAACCCTCTCATAGACTAACGGTTCACATGCATACATTGATTACCAAGCCAAGCAATTACATCAAGTAACATACACGGTAAGGTTTATTGTTTGTCCCATTTTTGTTGCTATTTTTCGTTGATATTTTGTGTGCCGTTTCCCCCGTTTTAGGTCTTTTCGGTCTTTCTAGTCGTTTCTCGTGTTTTAGTCCTATTTTAGGGTGTCTAGTATTTTCGTTGTTTTTCCTCCTATTTTCTCTTGTTTTTGCGTTTGTTCGGTTGTGGTTGTTTTCAGGTTACAGACGGCGAAAGCGGTATTCGTGTCCGGTTCCTAGGAGTCCCAGGTTGGTTCGTGCGACCAGAGCATGCAGAGACTGAGTTTACAGCTCGGGCAAAACGCGAGTAAGGCTAACCGAGAGCACACGGCCCCAAAACATCAAATATTTGCCAAAATTTTGAATCTACCCAGGTTAGCGTCGCTAAGGCCGGCCCAGCTAGCGGCGCTATACATCATAGCGATGGGCTGCAGCTCGTGATTTTCAACCTTAGCGGCGCTAACCCCTTAGTGCCGCTAACCCCCGTTTTGTAACTGAAGCTATTTTCTCAGAATTTTGAATTGTAGGGCTATGGATCGAGTTGCGGTCAGTTTGGAGGGATTGGAGGCTTCACTTTTCATGTTTTTTCACCACCAGAACATATTTTCTCTCTTGGTTTAACTTGAATTGAATTGTGGAGAGTAAAAACTCCTTTTTCTAACTTTTGGATTTGGATTTCTCTTTGCTTTTCCGACATTAGATTTATATTAATCGTAAGCACTCATTTTCTTATTTTGATATGATGATGTTTGCTTGGGTTGATGAATATTTTCGTGTTGATCTTACAATGAGTGGCTAATTCCATAAGTTAGGGATAGGGGACGATTGTTTCGGTTCGTTTTTGATTACGTGTTCAATAATTGCTCTATCTATGCGAGTTGATCATATTCTAGGGTTAGTTGTTTGATCCCCAACCTAACCTAACCTATCGACGTTTAGAACCGAGAGGGGAGACGTCGGTCGAACTAGGCTCGTTTGGAATAGACTTGTTCGTCATTGTATTGTCTATGTGTTGTTGGATTTGATGAGTTGCTCGTTTATGTTCACCTTCTTGTTACGAAGAGTTATTGAAGGTGAACCTCCATTCGAGTAGACAATTCAAACCCTTTAACTGAGCAATTGATTGCCCGGGTAATTGGGTCAAGAACTGAAAACGATTGTCCCCGACTCCCTAACTCATTTATAACCAAGTTAATTTGTTTGCTTTTGAATTATCGAATTGCATTGCTTTAGAATTCATAGTTGATAATTAAAACCCAAACAATTGAATTAAAATGTTTAGGAATTTCTTTTCTCTTTTCTTGTGATTGAATATCCGTACAAATAATCCGGCCAACCTTCCTTGAGAGACGACCCGGTGTTCGAATCATTTGATTTAACTCTGGTAAAAATACTTACAACAAATTGGCGCCGTTGTCGGGGAAGGTTTAGGACTTATTTTGTGCGCCTATTCATTTTGTTTCAGTGTTTCTCTTATTTTCGTGAATTCTTGATTTTTTGTGTTTCTTTTTGTTTCATTTTCTTATTTAGTTGTAGTGATTTTCCTTGATTTGTTTTCCTTGTTCTCTTATTGTCTATCTGGTGCTCGTGACGGTTTCTTTTTTTCTTTTTGTATGCGAACCAGGAGTGGACGTGTACTATCTCCTATTGACAAACCGTTCAACGAGAGCCTGAGAGCTACTGGAAGAGGTTACTCTAGAATCCCATGAAGAAGACGATAATTCTCCGAAATCGTCCGAAGGCAGCAACTTCGACATGGATGAACAGCAGCAGCAACCGCCCCGTAACACCCTCCGAACCTTAGCCCAGCCAGTTATCGGACCAGTCACCTCATGCATTCGTTTGCCGGATAAAGCACGGAATTATGAGCTCAAAATGATTCACTACAACCAGCTGTCGGCATTCCATGGACTCCCAAGCGAAGACCCACTTAACTTTATCTGGGAATTTTACAATGTCCTCAATACCTTCCCTCTCAATGGGCTGAATGACGAGCAGTTGAAGATGAGGTGCTTTCCAAAAACACTAAAGGACCGGGCCAAGGCCTGGTTCATGACGCTTGCACCGGCATCTCTGACTACCTGGACCAAAGTGTACACGAAGTTTATTGGGAGGTAGTACTCCCATCAAAAGACCCAGAAGCTCCGGTCACAGATCGTGTCATTCACTCAACTACCAAGTGAGCTTTTTCACGAAGCTTGGGAGAGGTTAAAGGATCTCCAGCGGCAGTTCCCTCATCACAATCTTTCGTCGGGAGTATTGATGAACTATTTCTACGACTCCCTCAATCAGAATTTGCAGTATATGGTT